TGGGAACCCTGCAGCCCAATGGTATCAATGTGGATTTCACAAGTTTCAAAATCTCCCCTCCCCCTACCGCATCCCAAAACCAGTCCAGCTCGTCCCTGCCTCCCTAACCTGTTCTTCCTCCCACCTATCCCCTCCTCCCACCTCAAGCCGCACCTCCATCTCCTACCGACCAACCTCATCCTGCCCCCTTGACCTGTCTGTCCTCCCTGGACTGACCTATCCCCTTCCTAACTCCCTACCTGCACTCACCTTTACTGGCTCCATCCCCGCCTCTTCGACCTGTTTGTTTCCTCTCCACCTATCCTCTCCTCTATCCCTCTTCTATCCGCCTCCCATTCTCTCCCTATTTATTTCGGAACCCCCTTCCCCTCCCCCTTTTCTGATGAAGGGTCTGGGCCCGAAACGTCAGCCTTTCTGCTCCTATGATGCTGCTTGGCCTGCTGTGTTCATCCAGCCCTGCACCTTGTTGTCTCTTGAAGTGTAATGGCCCAATGAATTCTTTCCTGTCTTGATCAACTAAACATCTTTACATTTCTGACAGTATGAAGACTTCTACAAAATCTTACAGTTTCGAGACTTAACAAACAAAAGCACTTCTCAGGCGAAATTGTTCTCCTGAACTGAAACCAAATTATGAACTGAATTCAAATTACTCAGTAGCCTTGGTCCACTTTCTCTGTATATCATAAAAACGCTTCATCAGTTAACATCACAGTTATCCTGCTCGGCACTTAACTGAAGTCACAAAAATGATTTAGTTAGTTTGCTGTTCCAAATGACTTCCTGATCTTTTTAAAAAGGACTGAACAGAACTGAAATCACATCTCTACTTTAAAATATCGATTCCAAAATGCTAACTTATTATACACCTTTATCGTAATTGGTGAAAATAGTTAAATGGATGGAATGCATGCAGTAGTGAGAGTTGAAGTCCGTGAGCTTTGGGGTGCAGTTGCAAAATTAGAATGATTGCTGGTCCTCTGATTGTGAGGTAGCAGAGGGCCAATAGAACTAGAGCACAGAAGGTAATTTACCTTCTTTCTACACTGCTGTGCTTTTTCCTTCAACCAGGAGACAACATTGATGCATTTTGCAATTTGGATCCATGCTGGCTAGATCTGGTGGCATGGCCCTTTGTGGTAGTCAGCTGGAAAAAAGGCCCTCTTCCTCTCCACCACCCCATCTCCCAGCACCTCCTTGGCTTTGAAGCAGGGCATGAGCTTTGCTTTTCTCTGGGCTGTCATGGTCATGTATCACAGTATGGTGGGCAGTTCCTTGCTGTGCAGTATCTGAAATGGTCAACAGCTAAGTGATAAATACGGCAGTAAATGCTGGCAAGTACCAGAAGTGGCAAGTACTGCCTTTCCAGCTTTGCAATTGCCCTGATATGGATAACAAATACCCCAGTTAAATAGTTGGTGAAGTGAAGGGCAAAAGATTGCAAGAGAAAAATTGTCTGAGCCATGGTGCTATGAATTTCACTTGACAAGGCACTTTACGTGAAAATGGGAAAGTTATATCTTTAGGTGTACACTGAAAGGTGCAAGTTCTGTTTAACAAAGTATTTCGATTTTGTACATGGTGACAAATGGACAGCAAGGGAGTGCTGAGTGAAGCTGTGATGGGGCAGGAAGCACAGTACTGTGGTGACAGGGATTGAAGCAGCAAATGGAGAGATGAAGGAGTGACAAGAAAGACAAGCAGATGGGTGGTAGGTGTTAACCGGCATACAACAATGATGCCAGCTGCACCATGCATGCACTTATAGTCAGAGTGGGTGCAGAACCTCTGATCAAGGTGCACAGTGGTGACATTAATGGCACTGACACCCTGTTCAATTGCATTGGCAGGAGATACAGACTTTCTTCATTGTTTGACACAGTTACAGACTTCTAAAACAATGAAATTCAATATGCTGCATAAATGGCCAGTTCAGCTATCAACTTGTAAATAAACATTCAGTTGTTACATCCCTAATCCACCAAGTTCCTGAATCTATTGTTGCTGTTTATGGACACTAGGAAATGAGTTTTAAATACATTTCTGGGGATTGTGTTGAACTGTTTACGTAAGTTGTTACTGGTGCATTCTGAGAGATTCCTGATTCATTCAGTTAACTGAGTGATAGGTCTGTGAAAGTCCACAATTTCAACACTGGAAGTGGAAAGGCCTTTAGCTAAACAAAATGTGAGAAATACTTCAAATCTGCCAGAGGAAGCCACACACTTGTTTTTTGCTGAAGTTTGCTCTTTTCAGTGCCTGAAACCTTATTTCATGTGATGAAGTGTCTAGGCCCAAAACATCAGCTTTCCTGCTCCTCTGATAATGCTTGGCCTGCTGTGTTCATCCATCTCTACACCTTGTTATCTGTTCATGTGATGTCATTAGTTTAGTGAGAAAATTAAAAAAATGCAGGTGAAAAGATTTGATATGATCAAATTGGTTTGCCCTGTACTCCATTCTATTGGATATTTTACTAATTCTGACTGAATTTTGAACATTGGCAGTTATTATTGCCGCTCCTTTTTATCAGTACACTCTTGACCTACTCTGATTCTATGATTCTACACTCAGATGCCTTTTTAATGTCATTTGAGCTTCTCAGGTACTGTTAGATACACACCCTTGTTTATGTATGTACGAGAGTATTGTATGACTTAACTATGAATTCATGAAAATATTATTTTGCCGTTTTAGTCATATTCTAACATATTATGTTTACTGTTTTGATTGCTGCCTTCAGGGTGAACATTTTTAAAGTTTCTAAAGAGTCAAGTCTACTGACCACTTAATTTTTCACCTTTAGAGTCATAGAGTCATAGATATCTACAGCACAGAAAAAGGCCCTTCGGACCAATGAGTCCACTCAGGTCAAAAACAACCACCATCTATTCTAATTTTAAGTAAACTCTTTATGGAATCTAAGAAATGAGCTTTAAGTACATTTCTGGGGATTGTGTTGAACTGTTTACATTAGCTGTTACAAGTAAGTTCTCTGCTTTATTCAGTTGAGCAAGTAGAAGATACCTCTATGGAAGTCCACATTTGAAATTTTATCCTCAACTATTGTGATAATATTCAAGGACCATTTGTTCCCATTTTTCCCCTCCATTACACTTGTCCGCGTTATGTATCACATTTCCCCTGAATTTGTTTCACTCATTGATAAAATTTCCCCAAAAGTATTTCTTCAGCTCCCAAGCTACCTCCTCAAAGTCAACTCGCCTTTCCTAGTTTGGTACCAACCGCAATAAATGTCTGATTTCAAATCTTCTTAATTTAGAAGTGGAACCAGTATACATAGTACTATAATCTGAGGTTTTCCACTCCATTTGACCTGCCCTCCAGCCTTCCCCATACACATGCCGATACAGATCCTCTAAGTACTGGTTTCTCATTTATAAGACATTTCTTATCTATTTCCAAGATTTGCCCTGAATTGTCATGAAGCTTGACCTTAACTACAGAGGCAGTGGTATAGTGTTAATGTTACTGGGCTAGTAATTTAGAATCACATTCCAAACATTAACTCTGCTTTCTCTCCAACAGATGCTGCCAGACCCTGCTGAGTTTGTCCAACAATTTTGTTTCTGAGTTCCAGCATTCGCAGCTCTTTGCGATATTTAATATTTATTGTTTGCCAATGTGAATTTTTTTTTGTTTGTTTCTTATGACCAGGGCATTGTGATTGGAACTGGTGAAAACTCTGAGTTTGGAGAAGTATTTAAAATGATGCAAGCTGAAGAGGTATATACCTTTTTTTAGTATGATTGCCTACAGATGAGATCTGTCAGTCTGAGATTTGTCAAAAGAGATCACATATATTCAGTGCAAATGACAGGATAGCTTGGCCTTGAAATTCTTCCCCCACAATATTTCTTTTACTGCCGTCATTGAAGTGAAAGATGACCATTGATGACGGTAATCAAATAAACGTTGTCTTTAATTGTATAGAGGTGATGGGCATTAACTGGACATGCATTTGAACACCAAAAAAATAGACTGATACTGTGGTTCTTGGATGCAAACTGTTTAGTGGAAAACAAAGGAGCTTTTTACTAAGTATCTGACCGCACTAAACCTGACTGACAAAGGCCTGATCAGATGCTCGAAGTATGATTTTCAACCCCTCACAAATATTTCTTGCCTTTTTTAAAAATCGAAATAAAAAAGGAATTGGAGGCTAAATTTTCTTGTGGCATTTGACATTTAGTTTTCCATATTCACAGTCTTCTTGAAAAGGGAGTAACTTTGGTGTTTTCATTTTCCTTTTGTTCTTTTAATACATGTAGTTCTGTTGTATTGGGTTAAATTTTCCTGATCTCGCACTGATGAACTTGGATGGTTGGGGTTCGGGTCAGGAAAATGAGGAGAAGCCGGCATTGAAAAGGCTCCCTAATGAGTTCCTGGTGTTGAGGAGGTTTCTCGGGGAGACCATGGAGGTGGGTGGCCAATTAACGTAGTTTAGGCACGAGGAAGGGGTGACTTTTTGCTGCCTTACCTGCATCTTACGGGCCTCCTGCTCAATTGAGGCAGCCTTCCTGCAGCAGATTGGGGTGCCATCAGACATAAGGTGCCACTCCACCAAGGCTGAGCTGCATCCCTTGCATCCATAAAGGACAACAAATTGCGGCTGAACCCAACCCAGCAAAGGGACTTTGCCTCCATCCACATGCACCTGCAAGCAGGATCCTTCTTTATATACTTGCCACTGTGCATATTGAGGTGCCCCCTTGCTTCCCGATCTTCTTCAGCAGCTTCCACCTTGTCTAATGGGGCTTTAATTGTATAGAGGTGAGGGGCATTAACTGGACAGAGCTGCTGGTCCACCGTTTGGATTGGTAAGATTGTGGGCCTTACTGGCTTCATTAATTAGCTGGTAACTGCAGTGTTGATAAGCTCTGGAAAGATTGTTCTGCAGTTCTTGCCTCTGGCAACTGTGGACTCAGAACCCCCATTTGGCCCTAGAAAACAGTCCTGAAATCTATGGAAAACTGGAGCTCAGAATGTGTGAACTGGCATACTCCATAATAAAATCTTCGCACATAACTTTGTTTATAAACCGACAAGCTATTTTCTTCTATCCGCCTCCCACTCTCTCCCTATTTATTTCAAAACCCCCTTCCCCTCCCCCTTTTCTGATGAAGGGTCTAGGCCTGAAATGTCAGCCTCTCTGCTCCTATGATGCTGCTTGGCCTGCTGTGTTCATCCAGCCCTGCACCTTGTTGTCTCGGATTCTCCAGCATCTGCAGTTCCTACTATCTCTGAAGCTATTTTTACCATGGGTTTCCTTCCTCAACCATTGATTAGAAATGTATTGTGCAAATAAAATAATTAAAAATAAAACAAATATCCTGGTTAATAGTACTTCTGTCAATGATTAAATCATGTCCAAAAATTTATAATTGTTTACAATGAAAGATCTTTAAACCCATAATCTGTGAAATATTGATTTTATTTTTACGTATTATATCTAGGCTCCAAAGACCCCGTTACAAAAAAGTATGGACAAGCTAGGAAAACAATTATCACTCTTTTCATTTGCTGTTATTGGTGAGTTCCACAAAATACAACTTTCGTTTTCTCTGTGATCAATGTATATCTTATTAGAGTTATCATTTGTGAGATTTAAAAGAGTTTAAGACAGCTAGATGTGAAGCAGGCTTGAAGAAGACATTACCTTAGAACTCCAACATTTCACAGCAGGGAATGTAAAGGAATAAAACATAGAACAGCCCAGCAGCCATTATCCATTATCATCCATGCACTCTCTGTTTCCTTGCTCCATTCATTCCAACTCATGCCACTAAACGTATCCTCATGGCTCTTTATACTCCTCACCCAATACTCTTAATTCTTTCACCCTCTGTGGCAACTCACCAACTATCTACCATCTGCAGACCTGAGTATGTGCTGAGATTCAATAAAGCTCTTTAGTGTCTATTGATGAGTGCATAATTTCTACAAAACCACTCACAATGGTTAAAACTTGTTCACTACCTTTAAGATCCTTCAGGTATTTAGTGCATTCGTAGTTCCACTTCAAAAGCTTTATATCCACTTGGAGTTGTCAGTCAAGCTGTGAACTGACCATCAGGATATTGTGATAATGACTTGTGAAATCAGTCATGCAGCATTAGTCCTATACGTCAACAGCCTGAGTGAAATAGCAAGTAGTGTTATTTTTATATTTTTTTATTTGTCTAATATTCAGGTTATTTAAATGCCTTGATAGTTCCCTTTGACAAATCCAACTTTTGTCAAGCGTAAAAATACATATTCATGATTACTTTGACGATTTCAAAAGGCACCTATCAGTTTCCAAACATGCTCCTGGACTATATCCAGAAAAGTTTCCTACCTCTCCAGAGAACTCTTGTAAGTTTTGGACCTTCTCCTAATAGGTCTAAAGTGCACACATCATGTTTTGGACTTCCCACCTGCGAAAATAAGATCTGGCTGAAAGCATCTGGACTTTAACAACTTTAAAGTTGTTCCCATGAGCTATGATGTGAAAATTAGAAGCTGCCTCCATTCTTCTCCCTACTGTTCCTTGAAAATGGCATGGACTGGGTTTAGAGGCAGGACTTTGTGCCTCCAGCAGTATTTTCTCTGAGATAAATAGCTCTGTGCAAAAATTCAGGCAGTTGAGTCTGGGAATTACAAAGATGCGGTGGGAGGTACCTATCTGTGACCAGGAAAGTTGCATTGCATTTAACAGCAGGTTCCTGTTAGAATTATTTTATTCTGTTTCTTGGAGCTAGCTTGGGAGCCAGGCCTGCTGTCAGGCCTAAAGTACTAGCAGCTGGTATCAGTTGCTGGCCATTGAGAAGATTGGAGGATAAGTGTGGCAGAGTGTCGCACACACTTGCAGACCTTCCTGGTGAGAGCAGACTTGAATGTCCCTAGCCATGCTGTGCGTAATCCAGAATTGAGTGTGATCATAGTGGGTTGGGTTTCAGAATTTGTTTATGATTCATGCTACCATGGTCACACCCTACCTGTGTTATCTCTCTCAATTTTTTTTTTTAATAACCCCAATCTGAGCCAGGATAGAGAAGTATTAGATTTTCCAACTGCCCAGCACAAAAACAATTGCAGGAAAACTATTTTGCCGTGGAGTTGCAAGCTGCTCACTGGAAACATTTTCTGAGATCAAATGACGTGGGTGTAGTCTTCATACTGTGATATTACAGCTTCCTTGACCGTGAGCAAATTTTTCTGTAAACCAAGAACATTTTGACATCATGGGTAGAATTTGACCCGCTCTGGTGCACCATGCATGCTGGCAGGAAAGGTAAGAAATTACAGTGGTTGTCAGAAAATCAGGTTCTCAATGTTGAGAAAAATATTCCGGATCTTTCTTTCTTTACCCTCAAGTCTTAAATGGCAACTTCAAAACCTGAACTTTGATTGGCAACTACCTTATATCCATACATTACATCTCAATGAAGTCCAAACTCATCTCACTCATAGGCTACATCAAATCTTCACCAAGAAACAAGACAGTGCAAATTCATGACATGTAGCTTAGTGACTACAGTTCACCGAATGCTTGTCCTGCCCATCATGCAACTGCTTCTTCACGACTACATGTGAATGCTCATGCCTCCCATCCTTCTTGATTTTTTGTCCACACAAATTGGCATTGACAAACCACCAGCCTCAACATGCCTAATCTCAAACCAAATCAGGTACCACTTCAGCCCTTCAACTATTTACTTTGCAACTCAAGAACAACTATGAGTTGCATGTTTCTGTCAAATTGCTTTATATGCAGGGACAGAGATGTACCTTATGCATTTGCGCAAGACGACAACAACATAATCATCTTATTGCGCTAAAGTTGCTTTTTTAACACACATTCACTTCAGAACTTACTTGAAGACTTACTTGAGGTACTTTGTGTACTAGACCTGACTTACTTTTCATGGCAGTTGCCAACATGCCAAAGCCAGCATGGCATTGATAACAGTGGTGGACTCATTCGTCCTTTGATCCAGCTAACCGAGAGCCTCTGAGAAAACTGTCTGCTGTTCCTCTGTCTGTATGTGTATTTTAGCAAAGTTATCAAAGGTCTGAAACATCAGCTGTTCTTTCTGGGGCTTAGCAGGTGCCTGGTCTCTGACAATCCTGTTGAATGTCGTAGACCTGGATATTTCTTCCTTGATCAGCTGCAGGCACGTATCATGAGTGTAATGGTCACCAGATTGTGCTCCCGAATTCTCATGTAGAAAGAACACCCAAGGTGAGCCTCTTTGGGTTGGTGGATGGTGCAGGTGAAAGCCTTAGCAGGATGTCCTCTGAGGGGTTCAGTGGCTTCCTCTTGGAGGTGACGGTGAAGTACAGAGAGCAGATTAGTATTTTGGGAGCATAAGGTTGGTGAGAGCTGGTGAGTGGACATAATGCCTGCAGTAGTGAGAGTTGTGATCCATGAATCATGGGAAGATGCTCAGTGGCAGCGTCAGAGGGAAAACAAAATAATAAGAGTTTTTATCAATATTTTTCTTAAAAAAAACACCGAATCATATAGGCCTTGATCCTTTTTAAAGTGAGACTGGAAAGTTAACGATGGAAAATAAGGAAATGGCAGATGAATTGAACAGGTATTGGATATCAGTCTTCACTATAAGGATACAAGCAACTTCTGAGAAGCAACAATAAATTGGAAAATGGAAGGGAGGGAGGAACTCAGGAAAATCACAATCACCAGGGAAATGGTACTGGGTAAATTGTTGGAGTTGCAGGCGGACATTTCCTTGGATCCTGATGTATTTCAACATAGGATCCAAAAGGAAGTAGCTAGTGAGATAGATGATGCATTGGTCCTAATTTTCCAAAGTTCCCTTGATATGGTGGGGAAACAGTGAATGCAACTCCTTTATCCATAAAAGGAAGGAGACATAAAGCAAGAAACTATAGGCCAGTTAACTTAACATCTATCAGGGGGAAATGTTATAAGCTATTATTAAAGATGCTATAGCAGGACTTGGATAAGTTCAAGATTATGCCAACAAAGTTTTGTGAAAGGAAAATATCTTTGACCAATTTATTGGAGTTTTTTGGAGAAATAATATGCGCTGTGGAGAAGGGGAACTGGTGAATGTGCAGTTCTTAGATTTCCAGATAGCATTTGATGGTTTTAGAAAAAGGGTGCCCTCCTTTCCACGATCCTGTCCACCTTGACTTCCAGGTCCCTGAATTCAAAGCATAGAATGAGCTTTCCTTTCCTCTAGTATGTCCTGATTATAGAGGCTTGACCATTACAGCATACTTTGGGTAAACAAAGTGTAAACTGGGTGACCGTTTCACAGAACAAGAAAGACCCTAAGATTCCAGTTGCCTGCCACTTCAACACATTGCCTTGCATTGTGGCCGACATCTCTGTCTCAGGCTCGCTGCAGCGCTCCAGTGAAGTTCAGCACAAACTGGAAGAACAGCACCTCATTTTCTGCTTGGGAACTTCACATCCTTCTGGACTCAATATCGAGTTCAACAATTTTAGGGCTTGAAGCACCTTCTCCCATGTCCTTACCCCAATTCCCAGACACCAAGCCTTTTTAGCACATAGTCTGCTATTAAATAGAACCCATTGTTAGCCACTAATAGTCCGCAATAGTAGCTATTCATTCTCCTAGTCTAATGATTATCTACTCCTTTGTCTGTCCTTCTGCTGCTCTCTCTCCTTGGGCTCTGTCTCCAACTATCGTTTACTCCTTACCCCCTCCCCCCATCCTATCTTAAGCATTTAAACTAACATTTCCCTAGCTACCATCAGTTCTGAGGGAGGTCACTTGACCCGAAACATTAACTCTGACTTCTCTCCACAGATGCTGCCTGACCTGCTGAGCTTTTCCATCAATTTGTGCTTTTGTTTCTAATCATAGTGTGAGGGTCAGTCCCGGTTCGTAGCATCTGAAATGAAGCACAGCTGAGATTTCAATATGATGTTGGAGATGTGTATAACAGAAGGTGCATGTAGTGATCTCTCTGTCCCTGTGAAAATCCCAAGAACCCAGGTATATGATTAATGAGGTGAAGAGTGGAAGTTGGTGTGAGGGAAGTCACTCCAAGCCATAGTAGATCATTTACCACAAATCTTGCTGACAAAAACATGTTAACTGAAAAGGGGGAAATTACAACTCATGTCCATATTGTACATCTTGATGAGTAACCACACTCATTACTGAGACAGTATGCAAACTTTCTTAAAATCTGTTTGGAACAGTGAAAGATACATACTGATACACCAAAGGGCAAGTTGCTGCTTAAATGTGAAGAAAGACAACTCACCTCTGCTGCTTTCTTTCTTACTTGGAGCCAAACACTTATAATTTAGAATCTTTTCCAGAAGCCAGCTTTCATTTTATCTCAATATACACATCACACCTTGATCCTTCACCATGATTCAGTTGAGTAGAGCTGCTCGTGTCCATATTATCTATATATTTGCAACCAGAAAATCATATGCAATGAATTGTCAACCTATTTCAAACTGTTGCCTTTTGTGGTCCCCAAGGATCTATCTACTGGATACATTGGCCTCCATCTATTTCTTATCAATTTGATTTATTTAAATATATTTATATATTTATGACAATAAGACTGGATGTACAGAAATTTCTTCCAAATAAATATTTAGAAGATCGAAAGCCTTTGTCTTCATCACATCACAAACTGCATTCCCTAGCTACCAACTCCTCACTTTCTCTACCTTGCACTTGCTCAGGGCAGATCAGAATGTTTTTAACCTTGGTGTCAGATTTTCATGCTCAGATGAACTTTCCAGCACATATGCGCACCTTCATTATAATGCCTGTAACATTGCTGACTCTGCCCTGTCACCCGTCCTCAACTTAGCTCATCTGCTGTTGAAACACTCCTCTATTAATTTCTTACCTCCAGTCTGAACTTTTCTGATGTGCACCTGGACAGCCTCCCATATCCTCTCCCCCATCCCCTGTGCCACAAACGTACCATCACCAATCCAACTTCTGCTCACTGATTGATATTAGTTCCTGGTTATGCAGTATCTACATTTTAACCTTCTGATCTTTGTCAAATCCTTCCATATTCTTGTCCTTCCCTGTCTCAGTAACCTGCTCCAGCCCCATACACCTTCTAGATCCCAGTGATCTTTTCACTCTGGCCTCCATATTGTCCCTGATTTCAATCATTCCACCATTGATGGCCTTGCCTTCAAGTGTCAAGTTTCTGAGTTCTGGAATTTCCTTACCAAGTCTTCCCTGCTCTTTACCTCACATTGCTCCTTACACCTACATCTTTGACCAAACGTTTAGTCACCTGCCTTAATATCTCGTTATATGTATTGGTGTCCTATTTTGATCTATAACTCCCCTGTCAAGTGCCATGACTCATTATATATCACCTTTGTTGTAACATGAATGCAAGTTTTTCTAGTTATTTACAACAGTTTACATCAACGTACTTAAATGGGGAGAATAATTCATATAAAGTTCCACTATATTAACAGACCAAAATATTGTGTAATATTCCTTTCATATTACAACATCATTAACTTCTGACATGCTATAGGTATTGAAATGGAAGACTGACTAGTCCTGTTGAAAATTGTTCGGAAGTTTTCTGAATTTGGCCAAAAGAGACACCATTTTAAAAATTTCCCAAATGAAGTGCATCTGTTAACTTTTTGGCTTTCTGGTTAAATGTAGTTATGTTGATAATGAAACTGTAAATGGAAATAAATCAAATGGGAGTGAAGTTTTAGAATCATTGGATCCCCGCAGTGCAGATAGAGGCAATTCGAGTCTGCACCATCCCTCCAAAGAACATCCTACCAGACTGTCCCCCCCTCCCCCATCCCATCCCCATAACCCCACATTTACCATGGCTAGTCATCCTAGTCTGCACATCCTTGAACACCTCAGGGCAATTGACAATCCATCTAACCTGCACCTCTTCAGACTTCTTGAATTTTCTTTGTAGCTCCTTCCTTCCATTGCTGTAATGTCACTGTTACTAAATTCACAGCCATGGATTGGGACAAATCCCCTGGAAATTCACCTCTAATGTCTTAATTCACTAATTTCAATACTTTTTATGTAACTGCAAACATTGTTTTCCACAGGTTTAATGATGCTGATTGGTTGGTTACAAGGGAAGCATCTCCTTGGCATGTTTACTATCGGAGTTAGGTAAGAACATCAATGCTGCTTTCAGTTTAGTGTGATAGAATAGCAATGACCATTGTGATATGGCAGAAATTGAGCCTACTGGCCTTCAATAATTTCTGCTTCAGGGTATTATACATGAGAAAACAGTTGCTCTTTCTTGTGTTATTAGCTTAAGTAAAATAAACAGAATGCTATTTAAAAGCAGAATTATGATTAACAGATGAGTGGAATTCTCTCTTAATCTACTTATCTATTAACAATAATTTTGCTTCTAAATAGGTTCCTTTTGCTTATGCTGCTGAACAAAATAATTATTGCTATTACCAGGTAGGATTAAGCGATAGGTTGTGGAGCAGGCTAGTTGGCAACAGGCAGTTCAGTGGGACCAGAGCAAGAAGAAAAATTATTGGTGAAGATAAGATGTTAAACTGATCTTTCAAAGAAAGTAAAGTGGATGATTTTCTTTAGTCCTTCATTCTCCACCAAAAGTGACTTTAAAATATTCATTCCTGAAATCATGAGGAGTTTTCATTATTTATATCTGAATTAATACAAATTATAAATGAGTGCATTTTTTTGTTAACTGTGCTTAACGCATTTTCTCCTTTTATATTACTTGTATGACCTGTTTTTGTGAATGTAATGTTGGCTGTAATTCCTACCTTTCCCAACTGAAGTAATGAATGAATGATTCCTTAAGGTGCAATTATTTTATTATGGTTCCTATTCATTTGAACAGTTGCTGGTGAGTTTATATTAACCTATTTTTAAATATCTTGTGATGCACTTCTTCCTTACATTTCCCCCAAATTTTGCTCCACCTCTTGCTTATGATGGTGTCTGCATTATCAGAACTGGTTTAAATTGCCAGTATTTTTGTAGAACCATTTATTTAAAATCTTCGGTCTGTATCATTTTCTTTGTGTTGGAGTTACTGCATGGCACAGTCTGCATTATTTTTTCCAGCATCCATGTAACTGAGTCTAGGCAGTGGATGTTTCATTCATGATTACAAGAACAATATTTTCAAACGTGCAAATCAATCTCATTTTTAATGTTGAATCAGAGATAGTAGGAACTGCAGATGCTGGAGAATCCGAGACAACAAGGTGCAGGGCTGGATGAACACAGCAGGCCAAGCAGCATCATAGGAGCAGAAAGGCTGACGTTTCGGGCCAAGACCCTTCATCAGAAAAGGGGAAGGGGAAGAGGGTTCTGAAATAAATCGGGAGAGAGTGGGAGGCGGATAGAAGATGGATAGAGGAGAGGATAGGTGGAGAGGAAACAAACAGGTCAAAGAGGCGGGGATGCAGCCAGTAAAGGGGAGTGTAGGTGGGGAGTTAGGGAGGGGATAGGTCAGTCCAGGGAGGACGGACAGGTCAAGGGGGCAGGATAAGGTTAGTCGGTAGGAGATGGGGGTGTGGCTTGAGGTGGAAGGAGGGGATAGGTGGGCGGAAGAACAGGTTAGGGAGGCGGGGACGAGCTGGACTGGTTTTGGGATGCGGTAGGGGGAGGGGAGATTTTGAAGCTTGTGAAATCCACATTGATACCATTGGGCTGCAGGGTTCCCAAGCGGAATATGAGTTGCTGTTCCTGCAACCTTCGGGTAGCATCGTTGTGGCACTGCAGGAGGCCCAGGATGGACATGTCGTCTGAGGAATGGGAGGGGGGAGTTGAAATGG